GAAAGAGTTGGAAATCTTGCCAAAACGTGCTATATGCTCTAGGAGGTAAGAGAGGCTGAGAAGTTTAACAGCAGACAAAACCAAACCTCAAACTTTAGAGGAGCTTTGTATCTTTTGCATGTGAACCAGAATTAGAAGCCCATAGAGAGGAGAATCCCTTCTGCTCAAAATACTGGGTGGGAGAGGAGGGGAAGTAAATTTAGGGAAGTAAATTTAGAGTGTTCTTAGTTGTAATCTTCAGAAGCTCTGTCTGAAAGATGAGTTTGTTGCCTTTGCTTGTGTCCATTCCTTCATATCTCTGAACACAGTGTTATTTCAGCTATTCCTTCTAACAGCAAGCTACAGGAGGTTGTAGATTTTCCCTTTAAGTTCCTTGCAGCACATTTAAGGGTGACCTCTGGATTTAAAAGGAATTCTGTAGAAAAATTTCTGCCGTTACACTCAGTTCTGAGAAATTTTCAAAGTGGTTTTGTCTGAGAGATGCAGCTAGTGCCAGACTTCTAAGTACAAAAACATAAATCCTCTTTCTCTAGAAATAGCTCTGCTTATTAATTTGTTGTATGAAAACAGTGGGTTTTTTTTGGAAAGGGTTGGATGATCTCACTACATGTTGTTTCAATACGTTATTGTAGGGGGGGACTAATGAGAGGAAGACGCCACTTGAATTGCTTTTTAGTTTTAATGCATTTCATCAATATGGCCATTTAGAACTGAATATTTTTTCTTAAAATCCTTTTCTAGCAATATAGGCAACCAGTTTCCAGGCCAAGGTGTTCCTGCTGGGTTTTCTATATATCCTCCGTTCAGTCCCCTACAGCTGATCTGGTGGCAACAGATGTATGCACGTCAGTACTACATGCAATAGTAAGTCTGCTTTCTCCTGGGTAGCACTGAGTTACACTAATGAAAGGGAGGTATTAAAAATGCAAACGTTTGCAGATCAAGATGTCTTGTGTTCATTTTGGCTGCTTGGTGCAAAGTTTTGTGCAGCAAACGTTGAAATCCAGTTTTGGATTGGAATTAATGTATTAATAAATCGAGATTTAAGGGGTAACACAGTTTGTTTAGGCTTATATTACATCTGAAATGTTTTTATTATTGTAGAAAAGAAGACATGAATAGGCTTAGAAAATTTGCTGCCTGTTTTTGTTTTTTTGACAAGCCAATTTTATGTTTAAATTTTCAGCCAAGCTGCTGTTTCAGCCCAGGTGACTTCCAGCGAGGAGCCAGCGAGATCTGGAGCTGCCCAGGCTGTGAATTCAGAACGTGCCCCTGCAAACGAGCCCGCAGCAGCACCCAATGTAGCTGTCCAGGAGAACAGGCCCATGAATGCAAACGTCCAGATGAATGCCCAGGGTGGCCCTGTGGTCAACGAGGAGGACTTCAACCGGGACTGGCTGGACTGGATGTACACCTTCTCCAGAGCAGCAATCCTCCTGAGCATTGTATACTTCTATTCCTCCTTCAGTCGGTTTGTCATGGTAATGGGAGCCATGCTGCTGGTTTATTTGTGAGTACAACAGTTGAGTACAGCTGCAGATGTTATCTGTGGAGGGTGGTGCTAGTGTATAATCCATTTAAACTGAAAAATTAGCCCAGGGCAAAAGTTTAGCCACTTCGCACTGTGGCTGAAAATAACCCCCCCAAACATTTAAACAAGTAGAGAAGCTGATAGGAAACAAAGAAATCATTCTCAGGACTTTTTTACAGCAAGTTGGATACCATGTACACTTGAAACAGAGTGCTCTTTAATGTTGGTGATGTTAACAGACCAGTATTGTAGAATGTGGAATTTTGAGATGGAAATCTAGAAATTAGGGATGAGGGAAGTTCATCTAGATCAAGTGTGTGCTTGCATAAGTTCCAAACACTGACTGCTTGGGTATGAAAGGAAAATGGCAGAGCTAAGCTCATCTCTATTTCCAAAATAACACATGGGATTTGTGCAGCAAACTGTGTTAGGCAGAGTTAAGGTCGTGCTACTCTAATGGTGGCTACTAGATCTTGTAGAACTGCAGGGGCTTAGTTTTTATACCTTGCATCATAAATACTGAAGTGCTCTCTCTGTTTTCTTAAGAAACATCAGCACTGTTGTCATCACTTCCCTTATATACAAAGATACCTCAGTGATGTAAAGGGAGGTGGAAAACAGCAGTAATGCTTCACATTTTGGGCTGATGTTTCCTTACATTGTAGTTGGTAGTCCTCACAAGGCCTGTTCTGTTCCTCATGCAGAAACACTAGTTGAAATCAGAATATAGGCACTTGAGAACATAGGAGGGGCTTATTTAATTTACAGTGGTAATGTGCTTCAAGCCTTAGCTGGAGTAAAGTGTGTTTTTGTTTTCCACAGAAAATCAACTTTAAACTTGAAAATTAAGTCTGCCTTTGTAAATTAATGTAACTTAAGTACTTAAAAATGGGGGAAATCATCCTAAATTATTCATCATCTGGAATAGAGAGCTGTGAACAGTGCCTGGGAAGGTTAAAGAAAGCTCTTAGCAAGACCCTTCTTAACCCAGACATCAAAGAATAGCCACCAGTTGATCTAGAAGTTTAGAAGAATTTACTGTGGTAGTTACCTGTAGCAGAAAAATCTCATGGTTGCTTTCAAAAGAGAAGTTTTCCAACTGTTGTGTTTCCTTCCATAGGCACCAAGCTGGATGGTTCCCCTTTAGGCAAGAGGGTGGCCAGCAACAGGCAGCCAACAACGGGGAAGTGAACCGTGATGGGCAACATGCAAATAATCCTGACCTTGAGGAGATGGTGAGTGGGAGAGGACGTGTCTTGTGAGACTCCTCTGTCTCATTTCTGCCTGGGCAGAAAGTCAACTTTTGTGAAATGTAATCAGTTCAACCAGAAAGCATTTAGCATTGTCCTCTGTGTGCTGTCTCCTGCTTAAATTCTGTGTTTGCAGCCTGACAGTTACTGATAGTCCCTGCTTCAGCCCCAGACTTTCTTCCCACTAGTTAACCTGCAGGAGGTGGTTCTGAGAGGAGTTCATGTGGGAAGATAAACTGCTGGTTACCTCCTGTCAGGGCTCTGAGAAGCAGCACTTGAATTGCTTCAATTTCTGTTTTTAAAGGAACGACTTATGGATGATGGGATTGATGAAGACAGTGGAGAAGATGCAGGTGAAGATGGCAACACGGAGCAGCAGCCTGGATTCATGGCTTCTGCTTGGTCCTTTATCACAACCTTCTTCACCTCCCTCATCCCTGAAGGGCCTCCCCAGGTTGGCAATTGAAGTGGATAAGGAGCTGTGTGGGGCAGCCTCGGTAGCCATAGAAGTGGAGCACATTCTAGAGAGTGTTTGAAATACAGTGCAATTTCTGAAAATTTATTATGTTATCTTTTTGGATCATGGTGTACAAAAACGTGTAATTTTTTTTCTTTTTGCTTTCTCATGCATTGAATATTTTAAGCACAAGTGGACTACTAAACGCTTTCTTTAAGATTCTTCTTTTTCTGAAGAATAAAATGTAAAGATATTGGTCTTCCATGTTTTATTTTAATTTCAAATGTGTATTACACTGAGGCAGGAAGCTTGTACTTAATCTGCAGCATTACCTCTTTAAAGAGCTGTTAAAAATACGAATGTTGACAGACCTTAAATGGAGTAAACCTTAAATGTTTGATACGTACAGTACTTTTTAAGAAAAAAAAAAATCTAGCTGTACTGGGGAGAAATGTGTACATTAGGTTTTTTAAAATAAAAACGGTTACAGTAACTTTTGGATGTTTATATGCATATTTGAATGCAGATAACTAGTGCATCATTAAGGATGAGGCTATTGATTGAGAGTGGAATAAAGTTATCATGGTGGCATTAACGATGCTGACTGGAGTGTGTTTGTAGCAGCACGTACACAATGATGGGTGTGATCTCAACAGGGGGATAGCTGTAGTCTTAATTAACTTAATTAAACCTGAGAAAAGGAAAATGTGCACGAGACAGTGACACTGATACTGTCAGGTTTTCAGTTGCTTTCATGAGATCTGCATCACAAAGTGCCATTTGGTTTCATTCCTAATCCTGAAGTTACCTTGTGCTGTCTCATTTAGAGGCTGCAAAGATTCTGTGACACTACAACCAGAAGAAAGCTCATCCAACTTTGCAATTTTGGTCTGAGCAGGGGAGAAATCTGGGTTTGTTCTCTGCTTGCTGATGTCAAACTGCTGAAGCTGTAAAACTGAAAAAATTTCCTCTGGATTTATACTCTGAAACAGCTGTCAGGATTTCTAGGCCCTGTTGAAAGTTGACTCTCAGTTGGAAAAAATAACTTTGAACAATGGTTTTCATTTCAACAGCTTAAATAGGATGTTTTTTGAGTTACAAAAATCTGATTTACAAATTTATCAGAAGATTATAAATAGAAAAAGAGAAAATACAAAGAGAAATAAAAATAAGTCCTAAAAGTGTAAATTATTTTCTTGGTTGTGTATACAGCAATGATGAATAAATCACGTTTAATTATGGTGTTTACTCTCATGTTACTATGGAGAGCTGCTCTCAACTGAGGTTCTTTGCTAGGTAAACATAAAATGCATAGACCCTGTCCCAGAAAATTTACCCTTTTAGTTGGGTGGATGGATCTGACTTGACTAACCTTTAAGAACTATTACAAAAACTTTCACTTTTAAAAGCATGGCCCAGGGTGGCAGCCTTGGATGGCAGAAAGCTTATTTCTGGAATGCACTGAAGAGGCTTCATCTGTTTGACCTGTGTGTTCTCCCTCCCAGAGTTCCCCAAAGTTCACTTTTCTTCTTGTCCCTGGTATTGGGGGCTACCTTTGACCTGTGCAGTTACAACCTACTGGTGTCCAGCTGTAAGGATGGAATTGGTGGTAGCTCTGTGCTGCTAGCACACTAAATTATGAAACTAGCTCTTATCCTTCAGCCCAAATTTGCTCAAAAACTAGAATTGTCACATTTCTCCTTCTCTGAATAGGAACAATTTGTTTATTGGTTACATAAGGTTGAAATGGTGGAATAGGAGACACTGAAGCAGATGAGAGTTTTAATTGGATCATAGATCCTGGAACTATGAGTTAAGAGGCTGGACTTCCATGAGAACATTTTAAGGTCATTGAACCTTCCAGTTTCCAGAACCTTACCAAGATCTGCACAAGGAAAAGCAAAGAAGAACCGTACCAGGATCTGAGCAAAGAAAAGCCAAAAGATGGTTTCTGAGGAAAATGAGTGAGAAAGAATCATGAGATATGAAGCGCTGCCAAAAAAAACAGTGAAAGAGCTGGAAACAGGTGATGGGGGGAGAGAAATGAAAACCCTGGGAGAACAGTTGCTTTTTCCCAGTGTATCCTTGCTGTAGGAAACCAAACCAGGATCCTGTAGCACATGGCTGTAGGTGAAGCTAGATGCTGAGGTGCTCTTCTTACAGGTAGGGTGATGCAAGCTGGGAATGGGTCTCTTTTACCATTCACAGCCCTTTTTTGCCTCAAAGCTGCTGCTTGTCTGCATAACAAGGTAATAAATATGTTTCCATGTGATTCCCACCCCAAAAAAAGGGGATTCAGCTGTTCTGTGTGGCAGTGGCTCTACTACTGGTGGGAGAGGAGAGAAGCACATCCTGGAGCTGAAAGAACAATTTGTAAAAGGACTAGGGCTGGCCACTTTTCTTTCTTCTCTTAGAACTTCCAAGGACAATCACAGTGTCCAGTGGGACCGTGCCCAAGCTGCATAAACAGTATTTCCACTTTCCTAAGATACTAACTCTGTGCTTGGTATAGAACTTTATAACATTTTAACTCAATGTGAGTAGATAAATGCTTATCCCTTATAATTTTTTTTTCCCTTCATGTGTACAGTGATTTCTCTGCTTCAATTGTCAGGGCCTGGGGTGGTGAAGCTGCAGATGTGCAGTTATTCTGTTGACCCTTTTCTTAAATTTCCATGCAATATTTTGCTCTCTGAGCCCTACAAACACTAGTTGTTACATGCTGCTACTGCAATCGAGCTGGTCCTAAACTTTTTCAAGGCTGGGGAAGGATTAGAAAGGAAAGAAGGATTATTTTCCTAGGATTTCATTCACATTTTTCATGAAACTTCAGGTGATGTTAACTGATTTTCCTCAATTTCATTTTTTTTCCTGAGTTTCCTTTAGCTGTCCTAGGAACAAACTGCAAAATTACTGGTTATTTTTGGAGTAGCTTAGACCAGGGCAGTTCATATCTCACAGTGGTGAGGGGGGTGTGTGTTAAAGTGAGACAAAAAGCCTGTTGGTGTTTTTTTCCCCGTTTTTACAGAAACCCTGGGAGAATCCAAGCGTGATAAGTTTATGGGACAGAAATAAACGCAGTAATCTGTTTTTTTTCAACAGGTGTGCGCACGTTTTGTTCATTTGTTTAGAAACAGAGGTGCTGACCTTGGCTACTGCTTGAAAAGAGAAACCCAAACCTGGTTTTGGGGTTAAAATCAGCGTGTGAGGGGTGAGGAGCCGGGCACGGAGAACAGGCCCGTCCCCCCAAAATT